AAAAGCAAATGTTCTGGTCAGTTCTTTTCTGCTCATGATTTTACTAAGAATGTGTGCAGTTTTCAGGGAAAACACCACACATGACAGCTGCTCAAAAGCATGGGAATTAACTGGCAACAGGAATTTCCTTGACTAATAGGGAAAAACTTGAAGTCACATGTTTTGATGAGCTTATTTTTCCCATCCTCAGTCAAGCATATTCACTGTTAATGATTAAGATTTTCAAATGGAAATATAACCAAGCACATTCTCTATCTTTTCTCACTGGAACACAGACACCCATTAATGACTGAACAATGGCATTAATGAACAGATTTTAGCTTACATAAATACAGGGAGCCAAACCAAGACACAATAGCAAAAGTGCATTTATTATATTAAAAAACAGTAGCACGTGACTCCTTCTCTGCCCCCCACAGTAAGTCATCTGCTTTGAGCTGTTTTTCTGGCAGTAGGGATGGATTTACACTGATCCATCCACAGTCTGTTTGACACAGGGGCTCTCAAGTCGGTGCCCTTGTGCCCAGTGGTGAGAATGGACGAGACAGCTGGTCAGGATTAGGTGAGCAGCCTGCGGCCTTGGGACCAAGTCATGTTACTGTGCCCAGAGCCCGATGCTATAACCTTGGGCTCATTAGCACTACGCCATCATCATCCAAGCTAACAGCCACTGATCAGCCATGACCCAACACTCACCACTCAGGGGCACTCTGCATTCTCAGTCCCAGCAACAATGTGAGCCTTTTCTTTTCAACACAGTCTGAACTGAGCCCACGACACTCAAAGGCTCATGCATGAGGGAGTCTGCATTAAAATTGTTCCTCAAGGCAGCAATGAGATGTCCAAGCATGAGCAACCACAGCCCTTCCATTCTAATCAAATGACAGCTCTGACAGAGCTCAAGGAAAGCAAGACATAGTCAAAGAATTTCCAAAATGTACGTACCCCAAGTGCCACAACGGAACAACATACCTGGCCATCCCCAGACTTGGAAAGTTGGCAGGGACGATGAGAACATCCAGCCGAGAGAATGGGTGTGTTCCCAGAACAGAATGTGCTGCTGAGAGGCAAGGAGGGATCAGCTGCAGAAGGGTCTCTTGGCAGGCACCCGTGAGGCACACAGGGGCAAAGACACGATGAGGAATGATCTGCTGGGTGGTGGCAGAAGCGTTCTGGAAGCGGCAGGGATATTCCATGTGACTGCAAACACCAACATGCCTGGGAACAACACAAAATAAATGGTAAACCATGTTTATCATTCTTGCTGTGGAGGTGAGGCAATCTTGCAGACGTAGACAACGCTTAGGAGACAGAGGTTCAGACGGAGTCACAAGCAAAGACTGTTCATTTCAATTCTTGGTTTGGCTCTGTGCAGCAGTGAAAATTTACAGGATAAAAACTTACTCGTGTGTTTGAATCAACAGACTAGCTTCAATCTAAGGTAAGTGAAAGCACTAAAATCTTGTTTTAGAATTAACTTTGTTGTGGGGGGACCTCTAAGACTCAAAAACAGTAAAACTTCTCACCAAAATACAAACAATTCCTGCCCTCGATTAGGTGTTTTCAAGTATCACCATATGAACAATCTCCAAATTAGAGACAATTTCTAACTCAGAAAGGAAGGAGCAGTACACACAAGTTAAAGATTCAATTCTGGGATTACCTAGAAGAAAAGACTTGGACTGAGGCAGAACCATGAACCCAACGAAAGTTACAGGCTCAAACTCCTCAAAAGAACACAAACCATTTTACTGAATAGTAATCTGGATGTTCTTTTCACAGCCCATCAAAAGCTGTTATTAAGGAATACAGAGGCACTTTTGATACAGTATTTTTCCCAACCCACTTTCAGTACAAATTTAACTGAGCCAACCTTTTAAGGAAGCAGATCAGACCCCCGCCTGCTTCATCTGACCACTGCCAGTTATTCCATCAAAGGCGGAACTGAAAGAGAATTCCTAGAACCTGACTCACAGGCCTCAAGAGAACTTATCTACTCAAACCTATATCCAACAGTACTCCATTTTTTCACCTGCTAACATGTCTTTTATTGAAACACAATGAAAAACCCCTCTAATCATTATTATTTATTTTATTTTATTATTTTTTTTTTAGATGGAGTCAAGCTCTGTTTCCCAGGCTGGAGGGCAGTGGCGTGATCTCAGCTCACTGCAACTTCCACCTCCCAGGTTCAAGTGATTCTCTTGACTCAGCCTCCCGCGTAGCTGGGATTACAGGGGCCGCCACCACGCCCGGCTAATTTTGTATTTTTAGTAGAGATGGGGTTTTTCCATGTTGGCCAGGCTGGTCTCAAACTCCCGACCTCAGTTAATCTACCCGCCTCAGCCTCCCAAAGAGCTGGGGTTACAGGCATGAGTCACCGCGCCTGGCCTATCATTATTATTATTATTTAACATAGGGTTTCACTCTGTTGCCCAGGCTGGACTGCAGTGGCAGGGTCATAGCTCACTGTAGCCTCCAACTCCTGGGCTCAAACAATCCTCCTACCTCAGCCTCCTGAGTAGCTAGGACTACACGCATGTTGCCATGCCACATGCAGTTCTATTTTTTTTTTAAGAGATGGGGTCTGGAGATGGGGTCTCACTTTGTAAGCCAGAGTGGTCTCAAACTTCTGGCTTCAAATGATCCTCCTGCCTCAGCCTCCCAAAGTGCTGGAATCACAGGCACGAGCCACCGCACTCAGTCAGTTCTAACTACAGGTGCTCACTTGATTCACAGTGAATAATGAAAAATCTTAAGATGCTGGCATGTCCCAATATGGGCAGAATGCAACAATTCCTCTCCAAATGTACGAAGCACCTTTCACTTACCCAAGGCCAG